GAGGAGGAGGAGGAGGAGGAGGGAGGAGGAGGAGGGAGGAGGAGGAGCTCGCAGAGCGGCTGCGAGCGCGGCCAGAGAGCGGGGCCTCCTCGCGGCCAGGTCCGCCAGGGTGGCGGCGAGGGTCGACGTCTGCCGCAGCGCGCCGCGGCACCTCGCAGAGCAGGAGGTGCTCCAGCACCTGTCTGCGCTCGACGCCCCCGAGGCGCAGAGGATGTGGATTGCGCTCTGATTCGCCGAGGAGACGGTCAGCTCGGTGCGGCGCTCGTTAGCTGCTGGCAGAAACACGCGGTATCTAGCGGCACGTGCGCCAAGGTTTGGTGAAATTCCCGCCCCCGTCACCTAAACCGTGCCCATCCTCCTCCTTCGCGGCCAGTGCGGCGGCCCTGGGAGCGGCGGCATGCAAACATGGAGCCTGGTGCTCGGGCACGGCTACTGCTAGCATCAGCGGCTATTCTGCCTTGGAGGTGGAGGGGGGCGGGAGGGAGGTAGGACATGATAAGAAGGAGGAGGAAAGGCTGGGACACAGACCACGTCTCCTACGCGCAGTTTCTAGGGAACAGACCTGCGCACCACTGGCCCGGTGAGAGAAGAAGGGTTTCCATCTTCGCGCCCACGCAAGGCGCAACGCGATTATCTGTGCGCCGGCGCAGGGGCGAGGCGAAGCTAGGCCACGGCAAGATCAAGCTAGCCACTACGGCGATACTCCAGGCTCGCACTTACAGCGCGAGTGGGGACAAAGTGCAAGGCAGTGCCGAACAGAAAGTACAACCACAGTGCAAGTATGAATGCCAACAGTCTGCTCCAAACTCCGTCCTCCTCTCCTCCGCCTCCCCCATGTCATGGGCTAGCAGCTGGGCCGCCAGCGGGCCGTGCAGAGAAGCGACCGCCGTGGCTGGGGCATACGGCTGCGCGGAAGGGGGAAGGGGGGATGGGGGGGGGAGATGCATCTGCGAGGACGGGTAGGAAGGAGGGGGAAACACATTTGTCGTTAACATACTTGTACCAATGCGTTGCTACAGATAGCCACTGATTCAAACCCTCCGCCTAAGGGGGGGCTTCTGCCAGACGTCCGGCGCCACTCGCTCCACTCGCTGGAGGGCGCGATGCCATCGGCTAAAAAATCATCTGCGTCATCTGGTCTGCACGGGCGGGGTGGCGGCGGCGGGAGAGGCCCAGGCCGTGCCCACCAACGCAAGTATTGATCACACAACCAACTCACAGGCGAAACATCGGGCTCGCGGCGTACTGTATACCTGGGAGTTGCTACGACTGTGATGCGCTGCGCTCGAGCCCATTTCCACTGCGAGCCTTGCCGGTGAAAAGGAGGTCTGCTGGAGGGCAGCGCGATTATTCGCACCGTGGGGCGCGCGCTCAGAGCCTCGGGGGCTCGGGGGCTCGGCTTCAGCAGGAAGCGGATCGGGTCGTAGATCACGGAGTCGTGCACGAGCATCGGTGTCAACACCCTCCGGAGCGGTAGCGTGGGCGTAGGGACAATGAGCATCACCTGGTGGTCCGCGATCCGCAGCCACGGCCTCGGCAGAGGCAGGTCCGGACGAGGCGGCCTCAGACGCCGCTGGCATTGGCGCCTCCAGGGACGCAGCGCCAGCAGGCGACCTGTCGCCCGAGCGGCTGACAGCAGCGCCTTCTCTGCGAGCCGCGGCATCGCCTGCGCCGCGCGGGTGCCCGAAGTCCTCGGAGTCGACCGTGGAGCACGAGTCGCTCTCAGCGGACCCGACCGCCTCCTGCCGCCCGTGGCTGTCAGGCCCGCTCTCGGCGGACTCGTCCGCGCCGTGGATTCGCTGCATGGGGGCCGCGGTCTCATCGAGCGTCTCCTCAGCTGCAGTCTGGCTCTCCTCCACGTCCAAAGCAGCAGCGGTGCGCTTCGGAGCGGGCTGCGCGCGCCGGCATGCGTCTCGGGGTGGCGGCGGCGGCGGCGCACGGAGCGGCGGCAGCAAGCTCGAAGAACTCGGCGAGGTAGGTGGGCGGTGCTGGCGACGGCCGCGGCCGCCGTGCCGGCGCGGCGTAGGCCGGGGGCGGCAGCGCACTCGGCAGCTGGTACCAAGGGGCCATCTCCGCATCGGCGCCCTTCCCGCCCTCAGGGACAGGCTGAACAGGGCGACGGGCAGGAGGCAACTCAGCACCCAGCAGACAGTCGGCGCGAGCGGCTTCACCCAGATGACCGGCATGAACGGCTTCATCGCCTGCAGCCGTGCCCAGAAGATCGGCGCGACCAGCGCCATCAGCGCGATCAGGGCGAATATCTGCATCAAGGCGATCGGCAGGAACTGCTCCATCACATTCATCTGCACGGCCAGCGCCATCAGGGCGATCGGTGCGAACATCCACCTCCAGACGATCGGCACGAACTGCCTCCCCGCCAGCTGGGCCTTGCAGGTCGGCACGACTAGCGCCATCAGAGCGATCGGCACGAACAGCTGCCTCCAGACGATCGGCATGAACAGCGTCATCTCCTCCAGCGTTACAAGATCAGCGCGAACAACTCCCCGGACGAAGGTGTAGCCGGCGGCGATGGTACGCTTCTCTCCGCAAATGTCGGAGGCGCTTGCGTCGGCGGAGGGCCCGCTAGCACTGGCACTCGCGGCCGCGGAGCAGCATCACTGGCAAGCCCATCAGCACTTGCAAGACCTGTAGCGCGATCATGAGGTACGCAAGGATGGGCGGGTTGGTGAAGAACGCCGCGACGTGGCTGGCCACCGCCAGCGCGCGCCAGCGCGGCCACGTCGCCGACTCGGGCCGCGCAGCCGAGCCTTCGCACGGCGGCGCGAAGGGGCGGCCTCGGCAGGCAGCAGCCACGGCGCCCGCCGGCAGCATCTCGCGGCGCGCGGTCGCCCTCGGCACCCGGCGGGCCCGGGGCGGCGCGCGCGGGCCCTGGCCCCCCCCCCGTCGGAAATGTCTCCGCCGGGGCCAGAGCCTGAGTGGGGGGGGGAGTGAGGGAGGAGGGGGGAGGAGGAGGAGGAGGAGGAGGAGGAGGAGGAGGAGGAGGGGGAGGAGGAGGAGGAGGAGGAGGAGGAGGAGGAGGAGGAGGAGGAGGAGGAGGAGGAGGAGCCTTGAGCCCCAATGGCTACGGAGAGCGCAGAGAGGCCAGAGCGGGCGTGGGCGGCGCGCTCGCGAGGCGGGAGGGCGGCAGGGGCCCTCCAGGGCGAAGCTGGCCTCGGCGGGGGCCGCGGCGGGCTCCCCGGCTCCCGGGCTACCTCCCGGGTTTCTCGGGCCGGGCGAAAGGGGGGGATTGGGAAAGGGGGGGTTACGAAATTTGCTGCATGCAGCTGGTTTCGGCCCACCGAGGGGGCCCATTCCTCGATACAGCCGCCTCCGGCGCCGGGAGGCGCCGGGAAAATCAGCTACGTGAGCTGATTCTCAAACCCCCCCTTTGCTATCCCCCCCTTTCGCCCGACCCGAGTTTCGCTGGACGCGGTCGGCGCGCCGTTCCAGATGCAGAGGCTGCCCGCGCCAGGCCCTCCAGGCGAAGCTGCGCGTGCTGGAGGCCGCGGATGGCCTCCTGGGTCCAGCGGATGGTGCGGCCCCCCCCCAGGCGAAGCTGACCAGCGATGATAGAGATCGCGCAGGGCTTCCGCGTGCGGCTGGCCGTGGGGCCGAGCAGATGGTGGGCGGCAAGCTGGGCAGCGATGTCTGGGAGCAGCGCGCGCTGTCGGACGCGGCGGGCACGGCTTCAGCAAAGGCTGTCGTGCCCCTTGCGACGAGTTGTTTTCTCCCCTCTTTGAAGGCCAAAACAGCAGGTTCTCAGAGCCTGGCTTGAAATCTTCTGGCAATTTTGGTGTGTACGAAGGAGTCCCAGAATACGACCAGACACAGTGTATCTTTGCATTCAAGAGGTACGCGTGGTGTTTTCGCACAGTCGGAAACAGAGGTGTGGTTTGTGGCGGCGTCGGCCTGCCGCGTGTGGTTGGTTGTGGCAGGCCCTGAAGAGGATAGCCAACCACACGCTGAAACGCTGGAGACGGACTGGGCCAGGGGTGCCCAAAAAAGCGGACGTACTCAGTCCTAGACCAGAAAAGGAGACCAAAGGAAGTTGCGCAGTCAACTGCTTCTCGGCGACCCTGGCGCGGCACAGCCGTTGCCAGGCGAGCCTGAGGCGGGTGTGCAAAGAACGCTTTCTATGTTGCGCTACTATGGGTATGCTTGGCAAAAGATTGGTTATCAGCCGAAAGTCTCTCCAGGAGCTCGTCTTCGGTGGTGCGGCCTTTTTCCCGACAGTCAGAGAGGTAGCATTGGTGGCTTTACCAAAAAAGGGGGCTTCGCAGGTGCGCTTTGATTATCCACGAGCGCCTAACGCAGGGGTCGGGTGGCTCACGCCCCTGGGCCCGGGTTAGTGTCCGCTCAAGGAAAAGGGGGCAATCGCCCGGCTTAGCTGCGGTAGCCGGCGGTGTCACGAAAGATGGGGCAGTTGTTTCCCCCCTTCTTGAAAAAGGCCAAAACAGGGTTCTCAGAGCCTGGCTTGACATCTTCTGGCATCTTTGGTGTGTAGAGTCCCAGAATACGACCAGACACGGTGTATATTTGTATTCAAGAGGTACGCGTGGTGTTTTCGCACAGTCGGAAACAGAGGTGTGGTTCGTGGCAGCGTCGGCCTGCCGCGTGTGGTTGGTTGTGGCAGGCCCTGAAGAGGATAGCCAACCACACGCCGAAACGTTGGAGACGGACTGGACCAGGGGTGCCCAAAAGAGCGGACGTACTCAGTCCTAGACCAGAAAGGAGACCAAAGGAAGTTGCGCAGTCAACTGCTTCTCGGCGACCCTGGCGCGGCACAGCCGTTGCCAGGCGAGCCTGAGGCGGGTGTACAAAGAATGCCTTGTATGTTGCACTAATTTGGATACGCTTGGCGAGTGATTCGACGGGGCCCTTAGCCGCTGCAGCATCGTCGGCTGGCGGGTCGGCGGTGGCATTGGCGGCCGGGGCTCTTTTGGCGGTGGGGCACTGGCGGCGGCCTTGGTGAGGGTTCCGTGCAGTTGCAATGACAAACGGAAGGAACCGCATATCATCGTCGCACCCATCGCAAGGCGCCGCAGACGGACACGGGGGGGCCGATGACGTCGATGTTCGCCCAGAGTCCGCTGAAGCGTGCGAAGTGTTCCAAGGAGGTGGTGCGCATGTTCGGTGCGAACATCATTTCTTTCATCGAAGGAGTGGTTGTTTTAAAAGTGGGTGACCCGAACGAGCAGCTATTCGAAGTTTTGCGTGCGGGGGGCGCGCCCACGGAACAGTGCCGTGACTCTTGGGCTTACGCCGCACCGCCGACCAAGTTTGGGGGGCTCCCGGCAGGTCTCTCGGGGGCCTCCTGGCAGCACATCGGAGGCCCTTAGGGGGCCGTCTTGGAGCCTCCTGTCTGGACGCCCGAAATGGGTACGGAAAGAATGGGTACAATGCCCAACAGCAGTTCTTGCTCATTCTGAACCTGACTCGCTGTCCGCGCCGCTGCGGCCTGTGTCCATTTAAGACAGAAGGCCGCCTGCCCAACAGCGGCTGCTGTTGGTTCGAGACAACATTTGCTGTTGGGCATTGTACCCATTCTTTCCGTACCCATTTCGGGCGTCCAAATCTTGGGGCCTCGCTTGGGCCTCGTGGTGGGCGTGCGGTCGGCGCGCCGACGGAGCAGTGCCGTGATTCTGTGGGCAGGTCGGTGGCGCAGCTCGGGGCGGGAGGCCTCCACGCTCGCTTCTTTCGTGTGGCCCGCGGGTGCGACGAGGGGGGCCGTTCGCGGGCTGCGCCTCTCTGCTGCCTGTGGAGTTACACCCGTCGGCAGTGTTGCCCTCCGTCGCCTTTATCAGGAGGGAAATGAGCACACAGACACAATGAATCGTCGACTCCCAGGAAGCTCACAAGTAATCGTCGACTCCCAGGAAAACATGGGAAACTGTGGGACGTGGGGGGGAAGACAAACACCCAGAACATATGGGGAAATATGGGGAATCATGTTATTTGTGTCTATTTATTTGTGTGTCCCTGGGTTTCTTCAACCTCGGCCATCGGGCGGTCTTACCCTTGGCCTCTGTATTGTGTGCCATTTGGGCGCCCGCGGCTTGGGCTGAGCCGACTGCGCGCCGCGATGTCCGACGGACCACCGTTGGACACATGTTTGGTTCAGGTATGGCGCTCAGAGTGCGCACCCTCCATCGGTGGCCTCATTGTCGGCCCTTCGTTCAGGTCCTCATGGGGTTGCTGACAATCTCCTCCTCCTCCTTTTACTCCTCCTCCTCCTCCTCCTCCTCCTCCTCCTCCTCCTCCTCCTACTTTCCTCCTCCTACTGCCCTCCTGACTTTTCGCTAGTTTCGCATTGTGCATGTCCAGAAACGCCTGGATCCAGAAGCCACGACTTCGCCCACCTGGTCCGAGCTCGGCCCGACGCTTGTCCGCAGCGGTGGTCGTTCGTCCGTCGCGCCCTGTGGCCAGGGCTGGGATACATCGTTCCAGAGCGCTCCCGAAGGCTTTCAGAGCGTTCCGGAGCGCTCTGGAACGGTCGCGGCGCCCGATGCACTGTGAGGAAGCGCCGGGCCTCAGAGATCCCCGACTTGCCCGATTTTGTCCTGGTCCTGGCCTCGTCTTGCGGCCCTTCCCCCCTCGCCGTCCCCGCTCGTGTGCGATCCGATGCGATTCACCACCCACCAAACTACCCCAACCCAACCCGAAGGCCTCCATCTGCCTTCCATGTCCAGTGGGGGGGGGGTCTGGGAACATTGGAGAAACACATGGAACCCGTACCCCCCCAACCCGAATTTCGGGTCAAATCCGGGTCTTCGGGTTGGGTTGGGGTGGTCTGGGTATTACCAGCCTCGAACGTATCCCTATCCCTAAGATTGACACGCCAAAAGGCGATGACAATCTTAGGGATTCGCCCTCAAAAAATAAGGGGATCCCTAAGATTGGCATCGTGATGAGGAGGTGCCCAGCATAGGGATAGGGATATGTTCCAGGCTCGTAATGGTAGGTGGTCAGCGATGCGATGCGACTCGCCGGCCTGGGCCGCGCTTTCGCTTCGCTTCGCCTCGGCTCGAGCCGCAGAGGCGTCGGCCAGGGGGCCAGCCAGAGCCAGGCGTGGCGGGACGCCCTCGGTGCGCTGCGGGGCGGGTCGCCGGCGGTGCGGTCCGTCTTGGGAGGAGGAGGAGGAGGAGGAGGAGGAGGAGGAGGAGGAGGAGGAGGAGGAGGAGGAGGAGGAGGAGGAGGGAGAGGGGGAGGAGGAGGAGAGGAGGAGGGGAGAGGGGGAGGAGGAGGAGAGGAGGAGGAGGAGGAGGAGGAGGAGGAGGAGGAGGAGGAGGAGGAGGAGGAGGGAGAGGGGCAGGAGGAGAAGGGGCAGGAGGAGGAGGAGGAGTTGGAGGAGGAGGAGGAGGAGGAGGAGGAGCTCGACTCGATGCTGAGCCTGGTGGCCCCTGCCCTCCCGGCAGGACGTCGGCGAGCTGGACGGCGTGTTCTCCTCCTCGCTGCTGCGCGCCATGCAGACCGCCCACGCCCTCTTCGGAGGGACCGTGGTGCCCTTGCCGTACATCAGCGAGGCCCGCCACGCCCTCTCCGCCGGGACCTCTCTCCTCCTCCCCCTCCTCCCGTCCTCCTCCTCCTCCTCCTCCTCCCCTCCTCCTCCTCCTCCTCCTCCTCCTCCCCCTCCTCCTCCCCCTTCTCCTCCTCCTCCTCCTCCTTATCCTCCTCCGTCGTTGAGTCAATGCTATTCAGTCGTGGAGTTCTGCTGCCGAATTGTCGATTATGTTCGCTCGCGTTTCGCTTCCTTGCTCGCCTTCCTCTCTGTTTCCTCTCTCCCCTTGCCCTACATTGACTTTTTTCTGATCTTGTTTTTTCCCTTCCTCTTGTCCTTGCGCCGTCTCCTGCTTGCTCCTCTCCTCCTGCTTCCTTGTCTGTGCGGCCATTCGAGAAAGGTTCTGTCGCACAATGATAGATTCTGCATCTTTCAGCGAACGCGCAGACGCGCGCGCCGATCATCTTGCCCACGGTCCATGGGCTGCCCGCAGCCTACGACTCCGACCGACCTACCTATTCCTCCTTGACACCCTCTCCTCATCCTCTTCTTCTCCTCCTCCCTCCTCCTCTTCCTCCTCTTCCTCCTCTTCCCTTCCCTTCCTTTCCCTTCTCTTCCCTTCTCCTACTCCTCCTCATTCTCCCCGAGCGGGCACCGGCACGACACGGAGCTTCTCTCCAGCTCGAGGATGTTCGCCAGCGTGTCCCTCTCCCTGATGGAAGCCTCCTTGCCGGCGATGATCTTGCAGTCGTTGCTGCCGAGACCAAGGGGGCGGGCATCAGGCATCATCAGGAAGACGCTGAACACGATCGACGTCGGTTTCGAGGAGGAGGAGGAGGAGGAGGATGAGGAGAAGGAGGAGGAGAAGGAGGAGGAGGAGGGAGGTGGAGGAGGAGGAGGAGGAGGAGGCGGATCAGGACGAGGATGAGGATGATGATGATGATGATGATGATGATGATGATGATGATGAGGATGAGGATGAGGATGAGGATGAGGATGAGGATGAGGATGATGATGATGATGATGATGATGATGATGATGATGATGATGATGATGATGATGATGATGATGATGATGATGATGATGATGATGATGATGCTTTTGACCTGACAAGGACCAGCCGCACGCGTACTGGCCAGGAGTTTGAAAAACACAAACGGCCAACGATGGAGACGCTATTCGACCCACAGCCTCGCTTCGCGAGCGGGATCGTCGTCGTCCGCGTCGCTGGCATAAGGGAAACCGACAAGGCTTTCCCACAAGGCCAAATCAGCCTGGGCAACAGGAGGAGGAGAGTGCTCCCGTCCCGCCCCCGCCCACCCCGCCCCCACTCCCGAACCACTCCCCGCCCCAGAGGTCTCGGGGAGAGGTGGAAGCGGCGGCAATAGAGCCGTCTCACAGAAAACTCCGTTTGCGAAGCAAAACTGGAGGGCCCCCAAAAGAGGCCCGACTTGGGGTGGCGACCCTTGAGAAGATTCTGCAGCCGACAGTACCTGGAATCTTTGACCAGAGTTCCCGCTCGGCGCCTGAACGGCTTGCAATCTTCGGAGAGCCCTTGGCTACGTAGCATGGCATAAGGCCCGCAGACCGAGCAGAACAGCACAGGCCCAGTGCGGTGCACAACATGCTGAGCAGGGCTCTCCGAACACTTCAACTGTCGCAAAACAGCTCGAGACTTCGCCGACCTGAGGCAGATCATGCAGCGAAATCTCCCGTCCATATGCGCAACCGCAGGATCGAAACGAGAATGCGGCATGGGAGGGCCCAGCCCACCTTCGATGGTGCCGATAGCCATCCCAAGCACGACTGCCTGGGCATCAGGGGCTGTGACCGAACCGATCCTAGCCGCGACTCGCGTGCAAATCTGAGCCACCATCTTCACCGCCTGGATAGATGACCCATGCGCCTCGCGCAAACCGACACTATCCGAGTGCATGGTGGCTCCTACTTTAGCAGCTTCGTCAGCCTTGGCGTCCCCAAACCGTTGCCAAGGTTCGAGTCGCCCTTCAACTACCGCCGAGTGCGGTGTGTGGGCCTTGACATGGGAGACCTCCACCGCCTCCAAAGCCCGATCCGCCGCCAACCTCCAGACTTTCCCCCAGAGGATCGCCATCGGGTCACTGGCGGCCGTGCCAGCACCGAGCCCTTGGTGCCAAACATCAATTAATGGCTTGCAATCGGTGTAAAACTTCAGCTGCGCGCCCATATACCTGAGGGCCATGAGGAAGCCAAACAGCTCCGCATCAGGCACAGGCTGGAAGAGGGACGGCAGTGGTCCATGCATCCCGGCGACTTCGTGCCAAGAAAAACCCAGAGAACATAAACCCCAACCACATCGCCTGAGGCGGCTGTGCCGCCCGTGCAAGCCCGAGCCATCGCCGAACACATACACATCAAGTTGCAAGTCGTCAGTCCGCAAGGTCCAGACAACTGGCTCTTCCAGGAACGGGCTTGGCAACGGCCAGGATGGGTCAGGGACGAGAAATCTGGTCCAGAGCAACGAGACGTCAGCGGCCGACGGGGCTGGCTCAAGCATCTGGCCTGCCAACTGGCAGTCTGCCTTGTGCTCGCGGCGACAGGAATCGTGGGCGGGGCGCCCGTAAAATCTGCGCCACGTCGTGCCCCAACCCTTGCAGATCAAACAATCGGGGTTGACCGCGCCGCCAGCATTGCACAGCCTCTCCTCAGGAGGGGAAAAACACACACAGACACAATTCATCGGCGATTCCCAGAACATAGGGGAACATATGGGAGAATATATGGGAGAATATGGGGGATATCTTTCTTTGTGTGTATTTCTTTGTGTGTCCCAGGGCCCCTTCAAAACCAAACAATCGGGGTCCACCGCGCCGCCAGCACTGCACGGCCTCCTCCTGGGGCCACACGACCTCCCGCACTACTGCGCACCTCGGGAGCCCCCTGGCGCCTGGTGGGGCCCAGCCTGGGCCTCGAGAGGGCGGGGAGGGGGAAGGGGCCTCAGGGGGGCTCCAGGGGCGGAGGGCGAGGAGGAGGAGGAGGAGGGGGAGGAGCAGGAGGAGGAGGAGGAGGAGGAGCAGGAGGAGGAGGAGGAGGAGGAGGAGGAGGAGGGAGGAGGAGCAGGTGCAGGAGGAGGTGGCCTCAGGGGCTCCAGGAGCGAGGCCCAAGACGGGTGCCTGGCCAGAGCTTGTTGCCACATCCAGTGCTCGGTGGCCTCGCCGGCCAACTTGCCTCCACCCCTGGGCGAGATCTCGCCGATCGGAACGGGCCCTCGGTGGGTCTGCCCACGGAGCGGGCTGGCCGGCATCCATCCCGAACGGATCATCGCGCCCACGAGGGCCGACGCGGGCCCCCGAATGTCAGACCGCACCCTGGAGACTGGAGCAACCGATAAACGAGCCCACGCACCGCTCAGCAGACGTGCCATGTCAGATCTTGGTGCCCAACCGTCCCAGAGCGCGTGCAGCCACACACAAATGGGCCCACGGTTGCACTCGAAAGCGGGGTCGACCTGGCGGCCTGCCAGCATCAGGTCGAGCGAGAGAGACCTACCCGTGTGCCTGAAAGCGCGCCCCGCTCGTGCCAATTGCCTAGCCTTGAGGAGCTGCGCGTTGTCGATCCCGTGGGCCCCGACCGCCCAGAGCATCCCAGGCTTGAGGCCCGTCTGGGCCAACTTGACTGTCTTTCCCCCCGCTTTGGCCAGCCGCCTATACCGTTGGACCCTGGAGCCCGTCTTCCCAAGACGCTGCGCCCGAACCGCATGAAGGATCCGATGGCCGCCTCTGAAGTCCAGCCCGAGCTTCCGAATAGATCTGGTGAGGAAACGAGCCGAACGGGGGTCGAACTTACGAACAGCGTGTCGAATATCCTGACCAACGATCGCCTGGTGTTTTTTTTTTGGCAGGGAGATAGCGAGGCCACACTTGGCCAGTTCAGCTGTGAGTAGGTCCTCCGCCCCTTTCAGGTCAAAAGCCACGCCCCAGGCATCGCCCACCCTCTGCAACTGAAAGTCGTCGACAACGATCGCCGAATCAACAGATGGGTACTGAGCAACAACTATATCGGCAGGAGAAATGAGCACCAGGCGCAAGAGAGATGTCGCACAACTGCAGCCTGCAACGTTCGTACGATTCGTCGAGACGATCTCGGTCGCAATCATTTCGAACTTCACCATCCGATCGAGGGCGTGCGTTGCCGGCGAAAGCTGCATGGTCTTGCCGTGAAACCTGTGCTTCGTGGCACACGCCGCGAGCACATGATGGGGAACGTGCTCGGACGCCTTGACGAGATCGAGTAGCTTAGACCCCGCTGCTTTGCCTTGATTCCTGGCCAACTCCGCCCTGCAACTCTGCTTCCAAGCAAAGACATCACAAGAGGCTCCAGAATCGCCGAACCAGTAGTCCCTAGGGCGGTCACGTTCCCATGGCCCAGCGACTTTCCAGCGGGCCCAGCGGGGCCGCATTAGAAGCGGAGAAGCGAAAACCCGATGGGTCGATCCCCCCCGTCAGGCGGTGGCTTTGGCAGAAGGGCAATCAGCAACGGCGCCCAGCACCTGGGCACGTGGCACAGCCTCTGCATCTGCACCCAGATGCCCAGGAAAATCTCAACAGCGCTGTCGTTCAAGAAGGACCAGTGCCGAGGGTGCAAGCCGCAGATGCCGACCACCGTGTGCGTGCTGCAGTCCTAGCGAGGGCGAGGAGGTCTTCGTGCGCGTGGGGCTCTAGCTCGGGCTCCTCTTGGCACCGGCCGAAAGAAGGATCGGGAAACTCCGGGCCAACGCCCCAGTGCTTATGCCAGCCTTGAGCCCGAGCTTCAGCTTCCGCCATAATCCCAAGAGGAGCGCCATCGGGTCCAGCGTAGCGAGACAGCCCAGACACAGCCCACTTGGGGACCTCTTTGGTGAACCTGTGGCCCAGGCGGGCCCCTCCTGACAGGGCATCCGAGACCCGCTCCCTCCAAGCACGGGCCCGCTCCGAGGCCGCGTGGGACTCATGCTCCAGTGCTCACTTGCGGACCTGCCAAATCAGCTCATTAATCTGTTAGCCCACC